GGGGGTAAAATGATTTTGCCAGGGGGGGGGGGATTGTTAAAAATTTGTAAATGGGGGTCTGAAAATTTATAATGGGTGTCAAAAAAATAAGACCTAAAAAAAGGTTCGAAATTTTGAAATTCGATTATATCTAGTGTAAAATTTTTCAAATCGCTCGAAGAATCGAAGAAGGAATCCTAGAGGGTGGGTAAAACCGGAAAACCCCCTTGCACACGTGTGCATAGAATAAACATATGACACCCATAGAATGAAAGAACAACTTGTGAGCTCTTTATCTATATCTGAGGCGGAAAAAAACTTAGAGCAAAAAAGAGACATATTTGTCTTTAGTATGTTATGGACTTTATTAAGTTGCGAGCAAAAGTTATACAACTCAGCATTGAGCGGAAAAGAAGTTTCTTGTATTTTTCTCCCTACTGGAAAGAGATAGCGACTAGGTATCTTCGGCTTATTTGTATTGGGTGTACAAATGAGTCTTTGCCGTTTGTCAAAAGATGGCGCCAGCAGTAAATGCTGGGCAAAAGTCACATGTCAGAAACGTCATATCGGAAGCTTAGACATTTGTAACAACTCCTCATCATTACATTTGTGAATTTTTATCGGCATCATAAATTTTACTCTGCGTGTTTATGTCGGTTTTTGGGCCAAAAGCGTCATTTGCGGGAGCTGTTTTTTTCACACGGAAAAATTGTGGAAAAAAGATTATTCTTGTATCGGGTTCACACTGATTATGAAGAAGGGACCCTTCTCGATAGACTCAAGCATAAAAAACCATATTTTGATTGACTTTATAGATGGCGCTGCAATCACTCCCTCGAAAATGCTCGAAATTGGGCAATTTGCCATATTTGCGGGGGTGAGGCAGATATGGTGCATTGTGCGGAGGTAAAATCATATCGAAATGTTAGATTTGATCGTTCCCAACAATAGCTAATCGTTATATACCAATTTCGGACAGCAAAATCGAAAAATTTGCATTATGCCCCAGAAAATTGGTTTTCCGAGGCAACATTTTTGAGCGACTTTTCACTGAAAATGTCAAAAATTTCTAAGAAGCAGTTGAATTCGAATACCCGCCATGCTCCCGCTGTATTCTTCAGACATTGCGCCTTCTGACTACCATTTGTTTCAGACGATTCAAAATCACCTGAGTGGAGAACGGTTCGATTTTTTTCAAAAACTCGAAAAATGGGTCAATTCATAAATTGCCCCGAAAAATGGGGGGATCTTCGACTTTGTTTTTCGTATACTGCCAGAAAGATGGGAAAAAGTAGTGGCTAGCGATGGACATTGTCCATTGGACAATACCCTAAAGAATAAATATGTAACCATTTTTTGACAATAAACATTCAAAAATTAAAAAAAAAACGGCAAAGACTCATTTGTACACCCAATAGTTGTTTTTTTTTTCTACAGTAATGTCTCTTACCCGTTGTGAGAAAAATAGGAAATGTTTGTATAAACCGTTTTGCAAGTCGTATTGACTCATTCAAGTAATATTTATATCTGCTGAATTACCGGAATCACAATATGTAGTGTATACAATCCTATGCTTTGACGTTTGTCACAATATAAGCGCCACCAAGTCTATGGAAAATGAACTATGCAATACTATATGGAATGATGATGTTGAACGTTTGAACGTTTGAACGTTTTCCGAGCGTTCAAATTGAATACATTGGACTTATACGAACAAAAGAATCATGGCACAGAGGGCGCTTTATTTTATGCATTCCATACACATTGTGATTCCGGAATTACTAACGACTTATTTTTACTATTTATGCTCAATCGATGAGTTTGATAATGTTGTTATGTCAAAGCTTTAATAGATAAAATAAAATTCATTCCGGTATTCTTATTTCATTTGAAAGAAAGAACGTTGGAATTTGTTCGTCACTTTTGATAATACGTAATAATTATTCTGATTCAACCATATTTCCAGACACGATCCGATTTTTGGACGATACCATAACTGTGCTACGACATGTTCCGGGCGAAAGTGCTGTTTTAATAGTGAAATATGAGCAACCACCCAGTCATTGTCTGCCGCTTGAATTTACATGGTAAGTTGTTTTCTCTTGTGCACAGGTCTATTGGTATACTTTAAAGTCTTTGCTAAATAGATGCATAACTAAAGTGACATAAAATATACAACGTAAAAGTAAATTAAAATCAAAGTCGTTTCAATCGCTAAAAAGATGTATCAACGCAGTTGTTGTGTGTCTGTTTTTAATTGCATTATTCTCACATTTAATTGTCATTCGTCATTCAATGTGCAATTAGTCTCATGTGAAATGAGCTTTCAGTGTACAAATTTGCTTGCAATCGAAATGAATGAAATTTAGAGCAAAATGCAGCTGAACCTTTGACTCACATTTGGCGACATACATACACTTTGTGACACATTTTTTCCGACTACTACAACATTACTTCCGAATTGCAATTCGGTGAAAGACCGATCGAATAATTGCATCTGCGTGATGCAAACATATTCGATCGTAATAGATGTACAATTGCTGCAAGTGGTAAACATGTCAAATTCGATGAGGATCGTGCTTCGCAGTAGATGATGTACACTTTTGGCTTGGGATCAATTAATCGTCCAAATTCACTAGAGGTTGGAAAAAAGATGAGTAATAAATTGTAAAGCACCAAGCCATATTTAAGAATGATACCCAAGCGTCAAGCATTGACAGTCATAATCGAATGTTGACGGAGTAAATATAAAAAAAAATTTCAATCCAACCAGCAACCTGTCGACTGTCAGAAACTTTAAAAATAATTTTAGAATTCAGGGAATACGTTAAATGTGATCGGTGGTTAGAGAGCGAGATTGGCTCAGAGTGATGCTTCTTGATTCTCTCTATCTCTTTTTCGCTTTCTCTCATCTTTTATATTATTCATAGCGCATGTGCACGTTTCCTGTTATTATTATTGTTTTCTCGGATTCGTTTCGATTATTTTTCTTTTGCTGTTTCGTATGTATATATATATATATATATACCCACTGAACGTATCTTCGTCGTCCGTTGGCTGTGGTTTCGTAGACTATGAGTTCTTTTTTCTCATTTCGATGAATTTTCAATGGTTTTTCTTCTCTCGTTTTATCTCGCATCGGTTGCTTTGAATTCCATCTCATTTATGTTCAAACATATTTATCGCGCGCGTATACACACAAATCTCTCTCTCTCTCTCTCTCTCTCTCTCTCTCTCTATGATTGTTTGTAAAACAACACCTTAGAGCTTTCATTTTGATTCGAATTCTTTTTTTCTGTTTGATCGGCGGTTTTTGTGTGGTTTTGTGTAGTTCTGTGTATGTAAGCTAAGTATCAACAACAGACAAACGTCTCAAACGGACAGAGAAGAGAGGTCCAAGCTTGTTCTTTTTTTCGTAAACCGTAACAACTGCTTTTTCGAACCTTAGGCTTCTAGAATTATGATTTGGATGGCGAACGTTAGTTCGAATTTTCCGATCGACTTACTAAGTCGCGCATGCACAAACCCGTTCGATAAACAACAAATCCTGCCCCATTTCCGTGAAAGAAAAAAATGTGAATTTATCATTTGGAATATTTATTACTGGTCGTTTCGTTGAGTTTGTTTGTGACTGTGGTGGTTCTTCTGATGAAAGATTGAAGAAGTGCAATACAAATGGTCGAGCAAAGGAATACAAAATATCAGCATGAATGCTTGAACTGAAAACCAACTATTATTTAATTCACAAAAACTTGGCTAAATAGAACATATTCATAATAAGCTTCGTCTCCGGTTTCTTCCGTTTGCTTGCCAATTAATGTCAAAAATAGTTTAATGTCATAGCAAAATGGACATAGCAATTATTGGGGCCCATTCTTTTCAAGTTTCTCAACGCAACTAGAATCCATCGAAAATACTCTGAAAAATATTTGTTAATAAAGTTATGTGAATCAGTAGAGAATTTGGAATTAATATATGATATCCAAACAAAAATATGTGCATAGACATTTAGTACTATGGACCGTTACGTCATTTAAACTATAGAATGAATGATTTCAGCCTTAAAAATAAAACGAAAATACCAGGCTGTTTGATTCAATGTTCACGTGAAATAGTAGTTCTCAAGTGCTTTCTTTGATACGCCTTAACAGCGTTAAACATGATTCATTTTCATAGTTTTTTCTCGGTACAATTATTATAAAATTGAAAACGCATTGAATTCGTACATACACGCAACCAAATAATTGATGTCAAAAATTTAAAACATTGTTTTCTCTGCGATACATTCAATTTTTGTGATGTGTGTGCGCGGCCAAAAGCGTTACTCTCAAAATACGAAATGTGGGCTCAAATTTCATATATCTATGTTGTATTTAGTGAAAATGACGGACACCCCGAAAAAAAACATAGACAATCTGCCTGCAAAATGAGCTCATGAAAGCCATGTTGTGTATTTAGATCGTTAACAATAATAACGAATACCAATATCAAAAGGCAATAATAAGCCGAGAACGACTGCTACAAAAATAATATTTCGGTCATAGAATCGACGATATTTTTAGACAAATGCGCGTGAACAAGATAATGAATATACTGAATAATGAAAGCAAAAAAAAAAACAAAAATCGGTTTTACTCTTTTACACAACTTTGTTGTTATGATTTGTCGTTCTACTTTTGCATTTTGGTTTTCATGAAGCCATCATGAACACAATAATTCATTTAATTCGCGGTCAAATTGAAGAAGGAGCTGAATCGAAGGCGAGAAGAAAACAGAAACACTCAAGAAAAACAAGAACTGCTATCTATCAAACTCACGAACTTATTTCTTTTATTTGCTTATACTCAAAAGTTACATCAATTCGAGACACGAGTATTTTTCATCTTCAGCGCGTGATCACATTAATTTGTTTTTTTTTCGTTTCATTTGGCAGTAAAACAGTAAAAATTGCCATATTATGAGAGATTTGTTTTTTTTTGTAGAAAGCCTGCACAAGTTTGAACATTTCTATATTCAAACAAGTCAAAACATACAATTCATAATTCATTTTTGTGCTATTCTTCTCTTTTAAATTATTGTGGGCTATTGCTTTTTTTAATTGATCAAATGCATTGAAAACAATATGTTATACAGTTAATTGAATTGAAGTGATGGAAGTGTATAGTTTTGACATGTTTTTAAAATATTTTTAGTGAACTTGGTGAAAAACGTTTGCCATTCGAAAATAAAAGACAACATAAAAGGAAGAAAAAAAATTCACTTCAAAACAAATTCAAACGCAAGCTTTTTGTTAGCAATGTTTTCTGTTAGTATTTGACCAGCAAAAAATGTGTACATTATGCACCATTTAACAAGCAAAACAAATGATTTTGTGAAATTGTAAATATACTTCAAACGGGTAAAGAGAGACACATGAAATGGGCAATAAATGTTCAAGCTGCTGCCGCTGTGCCTGTTGCACCAACGGCAATAAATCACACGGTCACATCTCATCGGCTGGATCTGTTTACAGCAAAAGGTTTGAAATTTTCCTAAAATAACACCTAAACGCCATAGCGTTAATGAAAAATAAAAAATAAATGTCATTTTTCAAAGAGCCCATCACAGACAGGTAGTTTGGTTTTGTGAATATGATTGTATGTTTAGCGTGGTTAATATAACTACACACACGCACACAAATTGACCGAACTTTTATTGCGATATTCTTGAATCCAACCGAAAATTCGGAATAAAAGCTCCGCCAGTATTGGTATGACTTCTAATATGACGTTGACATTCTGAGCGTTTTTGGCAACCGTTCAAAAAATTCCGCTGTAACTTTGTCATAGATGCAAAACAATTTTCTTCCAAATAAATTCTTATAGAATGCATGAAAAAGAAAATGTGTGTATGTTTGGCATCAGTGACTGTGGCAAATGACGGAGAACACCGTCTTCGCCGTAGATGCAAACTAATGCCAAACATTAGGAATGAAGTCGCAGGTCAGTTCACCTAGACAGACAACGTTAGAGTGGGAATTATTTTAATTATTGACGCAAGTGATTTTCAAGTCGATAAAATTCATAAAATAGATTGTATGTGTGATCAGTCGCCTCTCATTTGCTTTTAATCATTTTGAATGACGATGTATTTTGTTTGCGTCATTTATTGTGTGTTGATACGTGTAAACCAAGCTACACACAATAAACATACATTTTCAATTTTCAATTAACGTACAGTATTGGACAAAATTGAGAGCACGGTTCGTTGAATGTTTCCATAAACGGAAAAATTGCGCTGACATTTGAAAACTAGAAGCATAGCTAGATGCACAAGCTTGTGAAGATTCGAAATACTGTATACATTTTGATCCACCGAACCATTCTGTGGAAAATGGAGATGGTCAAACTCCAGGGGCAAATCACTACTGAAAAGACTGAAAGCACTGAAATCCACTCAAAACAATTGGAAAATATTTTCAGTACTTTTCAGTGTTTTTCAGTATCAAAATAGATCGGGATTTTTGACAGTTGAAATTTGTTTCGAAACATAGTGAGTGGAGTGTGAAAGCTTAAAATTAGGCCAGTTAAATGCAATAACAATTGATCAAATCTTTGGAATAATTCAAGAGATATATCCATAGAAGTGTGACAGTCAAATGACGCCATTTATTTGACATTTGAGGTTAGAATTCAGAAATGGTAGATAATTTTGCATTTGTGTCTTGGTCAAATTTATTCTACTCATCAAGAGGTACAACTTGCTGAACATGTCAATCCTAATAACCAACTGCCCTAAAAGATAAAAGCTAAAGTACCACATTATGGACTTTTTTTAAACATATATATTCATACATAGGCAATTTCGTATCAAGGGACAGCTTGTGCATCAAGCAATGCTTCTAGTTTTCAAATGTCAGCGCAGTTTTTCCGTTTATGAAAACATGTAACGAACCGTGCTCTCAATTTTGTCCATGACTGTACAATGTACTTGTACAATGTACATACTTCGATAATTGTTTTTGTTTACATAGGAATCGAGATGATTTACCAATCGAAAAATCGGAGCGCTATCGCATTGCCCAGAGTAAAAATGCTGTCCAATTAGCCTTAGATCACGTACAACGTGAAGATACTGGACATTATACTTTATTTGCAAAAACAAAAGCGGGCAAAATTTCACGAAAAGATATTGAACTAGTGATTGAAGATAGATCGAGTGGCGATGATCCACCCACATTTGTTCGAAGATTAACCGATTTATCTGTCAAAGTGGGAACACGTACGCGGCTCTTGGTGGAAATTCGTAGCTCATCACAAGTTAAGGTACCCGAGAACAAAACAGCATTTGCTGATAATTTGCTACACAAATTCTACCTGATCAAATACTAGCGTACTAATTTTTAATGATGAAATCATTTTGTTCATTCAGGTGACATGGTTCCGTAACGATAGACGAGTTTGTGAAAACAATCATATTCGTTGCGTAAACGAAGGCAATTTTTACTGTGTTGAATTGACGCCGGTTAGTTTGGACGATGTCGGTCGGTGGATGTGTATGGTGAGAAAGACATTTTTTGTCTATCATTCTTTTTCTTTTATCCATTGACAATTTTGTATCGGTTCGCCAGGTGGAGAATGCTAGCGGACGAAATTCGTGTTTGGCTGTTCTCAATGTCCTGGTGCCAAAAGCGTATAAAACACCGGAATTTGTGGAACATTTACGCGCTCTACTCACCGAACAAGGAACCGTTTCGTTGGAATGCAAAGTGATTGGTGTGCCGACGCCGTTTTTACGCTGGTTCAAAGATTCGAAGGAAATCAAGGCTGGTGATGTTTTCGCTCTAACGGCAAATCCAGATGATCCAACGTCACTTGGAACGTACACGTGTGAAGCTGTCAATTGTATGGGCCGCACGTATTCCAGTTCAAAAGTGCATGTTGTTGGCAAAGGAAGTCGTGAAGGTTCACTCAAACCAGCTGACAGCATGATTCACCATGGAACGCCACCCATCTTCACAGATGAACTGAAGAATTTAAAAATAAAACTTGGCGATGCATTCACGTTAGGATGTCAAGGTAAGTGTGCGTGTATGCGTTTCAAAAACACATATTCATATTATTATTGTTATTATTGGCCGATCACAAAATCTTCTTCGGTCATTTTTGATTTCAAAGAGTATTTAAATATGTGCGATCCGAAAAATCCGAAAAATTCCGAAAGCGAAATGTGTGTTCATTTCAATGCGCCTGTGCCTGTGCCGCTTTGTCGCCATCGAAAAAATAAACATTCTTGGACGCGTTCCAAATGAATTTATTTGCTGTTGTTGTACCTAATACCACACGCATTCGCGTAATCATCATATTATCTATGATAAATTATAAAAGAAAAAAAAGCCGTGAAAATTGGCGTTCAATTTTTGAAACGCAATAGACACCGAAATAAAATGAAATGAAATGAAAAGGGATTCCGCACGATATTTAAATGCTCAATTTTGATTGACTTATTTTTGCAGTGGTTGTGCCACCTTGGCCCAAATCCGTTGTATGGTACAATAAGGAAGGTCGGGTGGATGCTAGCGAAAATGCTCGTATCGTTGAGGATGGCTTGGGAATGTATATGATCGAGATAAAAGAATCGAACAGTGGCGATGAGGGCGAATGGAAATGCGTTGTAACCAGTATTGAGGGAAGTGTCGGCATTTCGACGTGCACCATTGAAATGGATATTCCGAAAAACTATCGAAAACCCAGATTCATGGAAAATTTAAAAGCTGTGCTCACCGATGAAGGTTTAGTATCTTTTGAATGCAAGGTAGTCGGCTTCCCAACGCCAATGCTCAAATGGTTTAAGGATGGTCAAGAATTGAAGCCGGGAGATGTGTACCAACTCACCGGGACAAATTCGCTAGGAACATATTGTTGTCTGGCTAAAAACTGCATGGGCGAAACCAGTAGCACAGCTATACTCACCGTTGAAGACATTCAGGATAGATTGAATGATGAGGAACGGCTCGTGTACAGCCAGAAATTGAATCAACCGCCCAAATTTATTCAAGGTCTTAAAAGTCAAGAAGCAAAAATCAACGAAGATTTTCGATTTTTCATCGAAGGTGAATACCGCTCAGAACTTCTTCTCTTTTTTTGTGTTCAGTGATTTAAACTTTTTAATTATTCAATAGTTTCTGCACAACCCGAGCCAAAACTTTCGTGGTACCGTGATGAGTTACCAATTGAAGATTCCGAACGCTACGTGATTTTACGTGAAACCGCTGCCAATTGCCAATTATTGATTCGAAAAATTGAATTTGTTGACCAAGCTGAATGGAAGTGTGTTGCGACCAATGATTACGGAACAAGTGTCACATCGTGCTTCCTCAAGTTGCAGATTCCACGGCATTACAAAAAGCCAAAATTCCTTGAATGTCTTCGTGCCATTCTAACGGCAGAAGGTGCAGTGAATCTTGAATGCAAGGTAATTATAATTATCATTACAACATGTTGCACTGACTTCACTGTAGATTTCATTGCAGATAAGTATTTGTTTGTTCGCAAGTAGCAATACCCCAATCGAAGTCAGTGCAACTTCGAATCGTTTTATTGTTTATTGTATATATTATGTTTATTGTTATGACTAAAGGTGATTGGCGTTCCGCAACCCGTATTAAAGTGGTACAAAGACGGAATTGAGTTACGTGCCGGAGACATTCATCGAATAATATCGGGCCAGGATGGTACTTGTTGTTTAGGTACTTACACATGCGAAGCGAAAAATTGCATGGGGATTGTGGCTAGTTCAGCTTCAATTTTGGGCTTTGATAACGCTGTCAAGTCGAATACGAATGCAAACCAAGAGCTACAACGAAACCATTCGCTATCCACAATAAACGAAGAACGTTCATCTCAACTGTACGAAACGCCAGCTTCTGGCGGTGACATCACACAGAAATCAGATGTTTCATTCAGTTTCGATGGCAAAGAAGTCAGCGTGTCTCTGTATGAGACTCCGGATTTGACTGAAGAGGAGGCGTTGCAAATCGTCGAAATGTACGCCGATCAAATTTCCGAACATGTAACTGAACACAATGTCGTTGAATTGCCGCCACTTCGTTTCGTGAAGGAAACATCACAGTCGGGAAATCTGCTTATGGAAGCGGTCATCATCGATGTAGCATCTGAATATTTCCTAAACGAAGAGGACATGCGAACCGAAGCTGATCTTGACAACGTCTCAATAAACGACGAAGTCAGCCTTCACGGTCTCACAACCGTCGAAGAGAAAAGCAATCGAGATGAATCAATCATAAGTGGAGATGTGGACGACTACTTCAGCTTATCGAGAGCCACGAAAATGAGCGAGGATGACGATGATGACAATACGGAAGATTTACTGAGCGCAAGAGGTTCGGACAAGCATCAATCGATGGTTCAAGATGCTGAAGAGTTTGTGAGCTTAGAGCATTCGGCAAGGAGTGGTAGTCGAAAGCGAAAAGTGTCATCATCGCAAACCGATGATCCGTCCAAAAAACATATCATTGAACAGCAAGATGTTGAACAAAATCTCAATGCAGTCGTACCGTTAGCGAAATTAATTTCCATTCTCGAAAGAAGTTTAAATACGATTAAAGAAGAGGTTTTTGCCCAATCAGCACTCATGATGTCACCCGCTTCAGCCGACGGTAGCGTAACAATAGTTCGAAATATTTTAGAGCCAATCAGTCGTATGCGACAGAAATTAAACGAATACAATGGCCAAACATCATTGGAATTAATGTTTACTGAAGTTGGAAATGATTTTGAAAAGCTACATCAAGCACTGACGGTTGTAGAGAAATGTGTATCGATGGATGAGGTTGGCCATACAATGATTCAACGAACTAGCGTATGTGTAGTCGATAGCGTTGGTGAGGAATTGGTACAACTGTTTGATGCCATCGAAAAAATTGCCGACAATAAGAGCCAATCGAGTATTCAAACGGAAATAAAAATACTGATGAACGATTTGCGCATGGGAATTCGAATTACACAAGACACGATTAAGGCTCACGCATTGCTGCAAGAAGCGAGTGCGATTGAAGTTGCTCAACATATCACAGACACTATGGAACGTGTACAAAATATACCCGAACCACTTCCATTTGAATCATTGTCATTGTCAACTAATCAATTGCCACCGGAAGCGCATAATTTTAAAAATGTTTGCCGATCCATTGTGAAAATTCAAGAAATTTTGGATTCATCTGATGAAAATAGCGCACCAGAGTTAGTTCTACGCACTTTAATGCAACCGATCAGTGCACTCGAGCATGAAATTCAATCGATTGAACAAGTTCTGAATGCTGAGCAAAGTGGCGTAGACGAAACACTTGGTGAAAAGATTAATATTGTTCTATGGGACGTAGTTACACCACCCATGTATGAACTGTTCAAATCGCTAGAGATACTTGAAAGCCAATCACCAACACGAGCAAGTGAGGTATGCGATGCCATTTTACCACCGTTGCAGGAAATTCAAAATGGCTTGGCACGGATTGGTCAAGACATTGAAAATGGAACTTTGGGACGACACTCACCACCTATGGAAAACACCGACACAAAACGTATAATCGATAGTGTGAATCAAGGACTCATTTATATGGGCAGCAACATTGAAGCGCAACCACTCAGTGACAGTGTACGAAATTCATTCATCGCGTTACGTGATCAATTGAATAGTTTGATTAAAAGCACAGCTGAGATTGATGAGAATAGCTGCTTGACAATTCTAGGATCTATAAAAAAGCCCATTGACGATTTAAATTATTGCTTCCGTCAAATGGAAGAACGTTCAACTTCGCAATCAACTCAAGAGATATTGGATCCATTGAGTGGTCTCAAGGACAGCGTTCGACGATGTGGAGAAAAAATCGCACTCAATAAGGGCACACTAAAGTGTCAAACCATTCTCAGTGAATTGGAACGTTTAATTGAATCAACTGAACAGAATATCATTTTGGTTCCATGGTTGCGCGTCGCCATGGAAGTTGAATTGTCTGAAAGTTCAAGTTCACAAAACCAAATTGTCTCAATGAAGTCGGTGCAAGAAGAAAGAATCAAACAGATTGTGGAGACAATCGTAGATGTGAACCGTTACATTGCAAGTTTACAAGAGCATACACAACATGTAGACGCGATGGACTTGGATACACCACATTTATCAATGATTTCTGAACCATTACGGAAAATACAACAAAATTTATTAGAATTACAAGAAACAACACATGATGGAGTGATTGATGTTTCACAGGACAAAGTTAGCCAAATTAAATTGCTTGAAAAGTTGGTCAAACCATTGGAAAATATGCGTGAATCCATAAAAACAATCGAAGAAAATACTGACAATCCGCAGATATCAATCGCAAGTCAAGACATTTTGTCAGACTTTGACGTGTTGGCAAAACCATTGAAAGATATGCACGAGTGCATCGCAGTGATGCAGCATGAATCGAATTTGGCTGAAAGTGCTGGGTCATTTGGTGCAGAGGTTCAGCCAGAAAGTGCAAAATTCGCCAAACCCATCGTTGAATTGAAGAAAAATGTCGCAATTGTTCTGCAACACATTATCGATGCACAAGAAGATTTGTCAACCATGGATGATATTTCGATGATGAAATCTGTGGCTGAACAATTACCACACGACGATAGTTTAAAGTTCACACCAAATGTGAACCAGGTCGATATTCAATTGCCAAAAGAGTTACAATTGTTCGAATTTATGGCATTAGAAAGAAAAATACGTGAATACCAACAAGAAATGATGCATAAGCCACAGTCCACAATGTTACGTCAGTTGAACTCCGTATTAAATGAGACATTATCAAAGATCAATGAATTTGATGTGCAAAATCTCTCCAAAATGGCCATGAATCAGCTGACAAAACCGTTGCAAAAACTTCATGTCACAATTGTGAAAGCAAAACAAAATGAACCATGTGCCGCCATTGAAAAACTACAAAAGGCCGTTTCACAAGTGCAAAAATGTATTTTCGATCAAATTGGATTCAATGTATTGGATAAACATGGAATTACAGCCGTTCAATTCGCTGAATTGCATCGTTGCGTTGTTACTATTCCGGAACCGTTGCCCAATTTGGCAGTCAATTTGGAAACTTTGGTTACCATTGATGATGTTTCAATTCTCCAGTCTATTCAAGAGCCGATAAGAGAGCTAAAGCAAATCATTGACACAAATCCAGAAGGCTTCACTGATGCAGATCAAATCAATGAAGATAATCTATCTACATTGAAATCGGCAGCAAAACCGCTTCTGAATCTAAAAAGACAAGCACAATCGTTGGACGAAAGCACGCTACAGCGATTACATGCGATTTCATTTTCGAAAGAAGAAAACTCTGACTCAATGCCAATGCTACCAGTTATTGACTTGATCGTTTGTATGGAAAGTATTGAATTGCAAACCATCGAGCAGTTTGCACGATCGGTTGCTCCTGAAATAGTACCACCGGTCGTTGTGAATGTTGAAGAATTGAAGCGATGCGTATCGAATACCCAACGTGAAGACACTGTAAAAGCTTTGGATGAAATATCAACTGCAACAGGATTACAGGGACTAAAAACGATCGCAGCTTCATTGCATGAATTACAGCATTGCATCGAAAGCACCCAAGACGTACAAAGTGAATCATCGTTAAGCGAAATCGAATGTTTATCCCAGCTGAGAGATGTTGCCAAACCACTACTTGAAATAAAAGATTTCGTTGCAACAACCGAAGGCCAAATGGCAATTCAAATGAGCACCGATATATCCGGCACAGACGACCTGAAAACCAAAGCGCAGCCACTTTTGGAACTATTGACTTGCATCGATCAAATCAACGAAACGGTTTTCGAACATTTAGCCGAATTGTCAAACCAAGAAGATATTACTACACTGCAAATCACAGCAGGTGGTCAGAAACGAACTGCAAACGTAGTTCTTCTGCCTGAATTCGAACGATGCGTCCGCAATGTACAAGAGCATGGTACAGTCGAAGTTTTAGACGAACTTTCGACAATGAGTAATTTATCGGAATTGAAAACGGTTGCACAGCCATTGCGTGAACTTCAACACTCATTGCAAGTACACACAGCTCAGCCACTGGAAATGGAACACAGCTATGGTTATGTTGAAAATGCTGCATTCATGGCTGAAATTGCAAAACCGATTATCGAACTGCGCGAGTATGCCACCAGTTTGAAAGGGCAACAAGAACTAGTTCAGTTGACTATGGATCTATCAGAGATCGATAATGAAGATCTAAAGACCCATGCTCAGCCATTGCTCGATCTACTTGAATGTGTACAGAAAGTTGATGTTGAGACTTTTGAGCATGCAGCTGATATGAGCACACAACAGAATATCACTGAATTGGAAGTCACCAATGACGGTAACAGGAAGCGTTGTGCAAATATAGAATTGATACCACAACTTGTGCATGCAATTGCAGAAACTCAACAGCTAGATACCATTCAGGCTATCGAAGAGTTTGATAGGAAAGCGTGTGACCTTCGTAGAGTAGCGAAACCATTACGTGAAATACAACACTACATTGAAATCAATCAATTGCATTCATTGCAAGTGGCCAACAACTTGAAAATGGAAGATATTGGTTTGCTATTGAAAGAAATGGCACAACCATTAATGGAAATTCGTAATTTTGCTATGAGCACAGATGGTCAAGTGATTCTTGAAATGCAGGATGATCTATCAATTTCAGATCGCACAAAGTTGTTGGTTAGACCATTGGTTGACTTATGTGTATGTGCCACGAATATTGATCCCAATGTAATCGAACCGGAAGCAACTCACGAGGATATCTCGGAAATGGAAACCATCACCGACATCGAAGATTATCCTAAAGAAAAAGATTCGGACATTTTCCAGAGTGAATTGACATCTAGTCTAATCAATCTGGGCCAATCTATAAATGCTGTTGAAATCAAAACAGTCGAACTGATGCCAGCAACGAGACAATTCGCAGTTTTGTCGAAACCTTTGAACGAGGTAAAAAATGCCATCGAATCATCGCAAAATGTCAACGAACCAGTTGACTGTGAAACAATTGCACAAATATTGTATAATTTACGCGAGAATTTGGCCAGCATTAATCCAGAACTATCGACAGAATGTCCACCAGAATTGGTTCAAATCAATTCAGAATTGTTGGTTTTGGAGAAACGTTTGAATGATGCACTTCAAAGCATTGAAGATGTAAGCCGATCGCCCACTGAGGCAGTCATTGCGCATATTCAAACGCCTATTGAAAGCGTGCAACAATGCCAGCGACTCATCAAGAACATCGAAATCACCACACAAAATGACAAGATCGAGCAAGTAGAAAAACCACTGAATGCACTCGAAACTAGCTTTCAATGTTTAGGTGGATTTATTGCTGCAAATCCACTGCAACACATTTCACGCAGTGCCAATGAGATTCAATCTTTTATTGCCGAATTACAACATATTGAGTCACAACTATTCTTCGCCCAAGAAACATTTTCTGCCGATCTACAGAATGCACAAATACGAGACTTCGTCGAGGCAATCGGTGCGGTAAAAGCAGAAATCTCTGTGGTTCAAAATGCAATCCAGTTTGCCGAATTGCTTCATCCACTTTTAATAACGAAAGCTATTGATTCAATTAGTACGCCCATCACAAACTTAAGCGCAACAATTGAAAACATTTCAAATTGGCCAAATACCAGCCATGATGAGCACAACGTTTTGAATGCACCTCAATCAAAAGTGGATGAGTCGCACGATCAGAATCAAGGTAATCTGGATATAATTGCTGGCACCGAACAAAAAAGGGACAGCGAAACTGAAAGTGGTTCAATTGAAGCGAAAAAAGACACAAACGTTCTCCAAGTGGAAATGGACGATTTACTTCGGAAGTCTGAAGACAAGCGATTAACTCCCGATGAAGAAGATCGATTAAATTCATTGTTGGCTCGAATAAATTTGCTCGATATTAAAATCCACCAAGAAGTCTTTGATGCAAAAATCATTAACGAAAGTACAGCCAATGTTATTGAGCAACTGAAGGAGGACTTGGAAATGCGTGATGAGCTTAAAAAAAACGTCGATTCCGGAAATGCTTCCAGCGAAGCCGAAGAATCCAAGCTCAATGAAATGGACAATGATGATATCTCACAAACACAAATTGGCAGTGAAATCAATCAGGAACAACAACACCGTACAGAAACGGACAGTATGTTACACTACGGCACAATCGATCCCCAACCTGAAAATCGGGAAAATCAAATGGAAAATGTACAAGCACTTAGACTGGGACACCAATTTAACTTTATCGACGAAACAAATGTGTTTGAAGCTGAACTCAAGACAAATATTCAAGCACTCTATATGAATATCATCGCCATAGCGGCTGAAACGACTCACGGACCAAACAACAACCAAACACTAAGCGAAGAAGACTATCAATTGCTATCGCAACCTATTTTGTATATGCAGCAAGCCTTGGATTCGATTCAAGAAACTCAGACTGTTGATTTACAGACCCTTACCTACCTTTTATCAGATTTAAAACAGTCCATCGAATCGTTCAGCACAGGTGACGAGGTGAAGGTCAACCAAATTGATTTGGTATCATTGGGGAAATGTGTTAATGATGCGATTATTAGCGCTCAGGATTTATACAGACCACCAATTGAAGCGGTAATGGCACATTTGGAGCAAACAAATGGAAAACTTGCTGAATGTCTGAAGACAACGTTGCAGTCAACAAGTGTCATCAGTGAACTGCAACAGCCACTGAACGATTTGCAGAAAAGTGTACAACATCTGACCGAATTTATCGTCCAAGATCCGCTACAAAAAACTTCAAGGAACACACCTGATATTCAACAGTTTATCGCTGAACTGCAAACTATAGAATCGCAATTGTTTTTCCTGCAACAAAACTGTGCGGAATCCAAATCAATGCCGTTGCATTCTGACCTTGGACAGGCTGTGCTTGAAGTGAAGAACCGATTGTCACATGTGCAAAACACGATTCAATACTCCGAAGAAATTCATCCATTGCTTCTTACGAAAGCGGTGGATTTGTTATCGCAACCACTGGACCGTCTGAATGAAATATGCGAAAATATTAACGTATTTATTGCCAATGAAGAAAATCTCCAAATAATATCTCATCAACCTAGGTCGGTACAAGAGGAATGTATTGAAAGTGTACCACAAACAGGAACTACAGCCAGCGTTCAGAATGACATTGAAGAAGAGCAAAAAGCCTCGCAACAAAATGTTCTGAAGTCTGACACAGACATCTTATTAGATGAATTCCTCTTCAGTTCAAGGGAATTAAGGAGTTGTGCCAATATGCTTTTAACTGGCCAATTGTTGACATTAAAACCATACCAAGTCATATCCAGATCACTAACACACCTTGCCAAAATCTTAGATACAACCCAGAATACACCATCTGAAATTCAAGATACAGCTAATCTTCTGTGGGATCTAAAAGAGAAACTCGAAACGATCAATCCAGAAATCCTAGCGGAAGCCAATCCAGAAATTGCCGAAGCAGCTTATGGTGAACTTATGTCTTTGGAAAAGAAATTGACCGATACTTTGGGATGCGTAGAAGATATGAATGTGACACCGATCGAAGCAGTTATTACCCATTTACAGAAGCCGATTCGGACGATAGAATCGTGCTTGAAACTTGTTAAACAAACATCTTCCAAAGCCAATATTAGAGATCTAGAACGACCGCTAAATGAATTGAAAACAAGTATATGCATACTGGGTGCATATATTCTAAGAGATCCTCTAGAGCACATCTCGAGAAATTCCGTGGAAATTAGAAGTTTTATCGCCGAACTACAAAGCATAGAATCGCAATTGTACTTCAAACAGAGCGCAATTGCACAATCGCATTTGGTACCATTCCACAAAGAGCTATCTGATTCGATTGCGATGACAAAGCTTCAGATAACAGACATTCAAAATGAAATACAGTACGCAGAGACAACGCATCCGATTCTTATAGCAAAAACCGCTGATAAGCTATGCAAACCACTAGAGTTGTTGCACATGATTATCGAAAATATACACCAAATAATGGGTGAGGATGAAACAATTGAAGAACATAAATCTGATGCGGATTCAACTCAGGATAAAACCAAATTTTCTATTGCCAAGCAATCCGAAAATGAACATGTTGACGAGCTGCTACAAACAGTTGAATATATTGAAGCTGAAAAGCAACAACAAGAAGCAGATATAAGCGAGCAAGACGAACTGAATGTCATAGCTAATCAGCAAACAGCCATTATTGATGCACGAGATGAATTAAGAAGCTGTTCAATAAGTGAAGCCGAAATAGATGACAAATTACAATATTCAGATCGAGATGAAGTTGTAGATGAAGAGGTATTTGTTAGTGAAGAAGAACAAGGAATGATCAAAAATATCATACAAGCTTCTAAGGAACAAGTCGCTGTTGTCGAAGAAGAGAAGCAACAAGAAATCTCAGTCACAGAACAAGAACAAGTCCAACAATTGAAACAGGCCGAAATCGAAGGCGTGGCTGAGACTTCTGAGGGTGTTGAACAATTGGCCAAAGAGGAATTGGGCGTAACTGCTGAAGTCTCCAAGGAAGACGAACTCTCGCAAGCTAGTAAGGAACAAGTCGCTGTTGTCGAAGAAGAGAAGCAACAAGAAATCTCAATCGCAGAACAAGAACAAGAACAAGTCCAACAATTGAAACAGGCCGAAATCGAAGGCG